GTCGCAGCCGCAGCTGCTGCCGCCGCCGCCGCCGCCGTTACTACTGCCGTCGTCATCGTCGCGACACGTAGTACGTCGCCGTCGTCGTCGTCGTCGTCGTTCTCGTCATCTACGTCGTCGTCGCCGTCGTCGTCGTCGCCGTGTTGCTGTAACGTCCAGGTCGCGCGTGTCTCATCATCAGCGGTTTGTACCGGCTTTAAGCTTCGGCGACGTTTGACATTTCCGGATTGTCGGAAACATCGGAAACGCATCGCGCGCGCGGAGGAAAAGCAGAGAAGGAAGAGGCGAAGGAGAGATATAGTGAGAATTACAGAAAAGAAGCAAGGGGAGAGAGAGAGAGAGAGAGAAAGAGAGAAAGCGGTAGCGCGTGTGGAGCTAAAAAACGGAAGAGTCGTGTGATCGGGGAAAGCTGATTATGAGTTGGAACATTACAACGGCAAGTCAGCAACGCACACTCAAGCCGGCTAACGTGTGAGAGAGAGAAAGAGAGAAAGAGAGAGAGAGAAAGAGAGAGAGAAAAGAGAGCGAGAGAGCGGTCGTTTTATTCATTCGCGATACACTTGCACGGATACCAAACACCGTTGTCCGTGCGCGAATCGTGCCCGCGAAATCATACCGGGATTTTACAGTAAAGTGAGAGCACACGAGTCAGACACAGTTACGGAGCAGTGGTGTTCGACATACTCGCAGAAATTGCGAGATATACATATAAGTGTCCAGTAAAAATTTCCACACTTGGTGTTTTGTTGACAGTGAGAGGAGTACGAAACCGACTTCGAAGAGGAGGCTAACGCACGAGAGAGTTATTCGCTTTCATCGACGATCGGAGCATCCTTGCGTCAAGGTGATCGATATCAAGATCGTGACTGAATCCTTCGCGTGTTCCGGAGCAAGGTAATGCAAGTTCCCTATCTATGATTTACCTACCCATCTACATTTTTCTATGCGTATACGGTGTGCGCGCATGTGTGTGTGTGTGTACGTGAGCGTGTGTGTGCGTGTGCGTGTGTATGTGTGTGTGTGTGTGTGTTTGTCGTGCGCGCGCGCGCGCGCGCGCGTGTGTGTGTGTGTCGCGTGTATTGCGAGATGGATGATGTGGGTGTGACGCGTTACGTATCGTAAATACGCGAGTAGGGCGAATCCGCAGGGCGATCGAGAAATGTCTTGCAATAGGTGACGTTTTCCGCGTGGGCGCTGTGTATATAGTATCGTGGGGTTTTATGTGGATGGTATATATGTGTATATATACGTGTCGCGCGCGTGAAGTGACGTCATTTCATTCGAGAACTGTGCGTTTATATGCCATGATTGTCTTTTCCGACAAATTTTTCGGGAAGCTTTATTACTGTCGTATATCGTTAAAAGTTAGATTAGATGCGTGATAATCGTGATATCTAATAATAAATATTTTGAAAATTACAAAACATGGCTCCGATATAATAAACACGAACATCACATTGAATCACGTTCACTACTAATAAGAAGCCAAGTTTTTTGATACAAGTTACCATCTCATAGTTGTTTAGCTTCGAAGATGGCGCATTACTTTTTATTGTATTGAAAAGTACAGTATTGCGAGAATTTATTATCGGTTTTTTTAGTCGCATTAAAAAAAGATACATTCATCAAGTCAAAAAACTACGCAGATGAAAGAAATGCCGATAATCTAAGTTACCTTGTATATATTTATAATCAAGAGTTACGTAATATTATAACGTTTTAACTTTTAATTGAAGTTATCTAAATTAACTTGAGATTTATTTAACTCTTTCCGATTTTCATATAAATTCATATTCTCCATACGAATACCATATATATTTCATTCGTATTCCATATGTATTTTTGGTACGAAGTTGGATTCCAAACTAAAACCTAAAAGTCAAATGTGAAATGGCAGATCAAACATATATTGCAATTGCTTTTATATACATATCAAATGCATATTTTATCAAGTATAACTTCACCAAAGTTGAATATTGCATGGTGATTTGCATTACTGCATTACTACTCAAAAATGTTATTAGAAGAATACGATCGAGATATTTGCAAATTAATTTGCCTTGTTCAATGTCTAACGATTAAACATGTATTGAAAAATAATCAATGAAGAGAATAAATAGAAAAGAAATAGAATAAAGAGAAAATATGAAAGAAAACGTGATTTAAGAACAGACTAACGCAGTGTACTTTGCATCTAAAGTTATAGTATATATAATAAGCTTGAAATGCGTTTATGCAACATGAAATACAACAAATTTAAATATGCCGCGAATGCTAAAAGAACGGACAATCACTGTCTGAAGCCGGTCTGAAGTTGGTCAGACTGCGCGCGAGATCAGTCGAGAAACCGGAGCATAGCCACTTCAATTTTCGTCATCGTTCACCAGTGCTTATCTTTATCGCGTCCGTCAGAATTATCGCGTAACGACGCGATAGCCGCGTTTCGAAACGTAGATTACGTTCGTCGTGTTCATTTTTCATTCGTTCTCGCGTGATATTATTGCGCTTCATTTGTTCATTGTTCGTGATCGTGCCGAAATACACGTAACCTCAATCCTCGCATCCCTATATGAAAATTACGGATTCCGTGGATTTGTTTATCGGATCGTATGTATACGCGCGTGTATACGTGTTTGGTACTTGGAAATATTTATAGTGTATTGGTGATATCGCGCGATTGCGAAGTCTGATAAGGAATTGCGTGACGCGGCCTATCTGAAGATACGAAAGCGAAGGCTTCGCTGCGTGAAATTGTGAAGATCGACCATGTGTTAAGTCGCAGTTGGAAACGACAGTCGGCTAAAGTATGTATGCGTCTTCGTTATTGTGTTGCTTGTGCTTCGAAGGTTTCCGTAACCTCTCTTACTGAGAGATTTGATGTTTGTTCATTAACTACACTTTTCCGCGTTTTTTTACATCTCTTTTTTACACTTTCTACATTTAACAATGCATACTCATACTTCACGATGTGAGAACGACAAAAAAAAGATAGGCACTGAAAGCTAACGAGAACAGAATTACTATTGAAACAATTGCCTCGCGATTAAATATATTTTGTTGAATAAAATATGGACTTTTTTCATAAAGCTCAATAAGTTTCAACATGCTATTTCTTCAGAATATTTTTTATTTTATTAGAATTTAACTTATTGCATCATTAATTGTAAGATGTATTTTTTCGTGCTAATGAGTCGTGAAGATAAACAATATAATTCTTTATCTCTGTCTAAATTAACTGTCCTCAATGAATCACTGCAGAACGATTTGCGATATATTCTACGCAGTGAATCATTAGTACGATTACATTGCACGATATTAATTTACGAGATTTATCAATAACACGTAAACATAATTTATTTTCTCATTTACATTTAATTGTCCGCTAATTCGCCAATTGGCTAAAATGGATTTTGAGATTGGATGTATTTAAAACAAATTTCACTTAAACATTATATGTATGTGAATTTCCGTAAATGAGTGTATATTTTTGTCTAATCGAAGGCACGACGACAAGTCAAAATTACAAAGAACGCGATATTCAGGTCCATTCGTTCATTTGAACTCGGGGATTCGAGTTCGTTTTACGGCTCCGATTCGACGAGCCGTGCGCGATATTTACACCATATGCGCGCACGTTTACATCACGTACCGTGTTGGTGTTCCCGATCGGATCGAGTTTCTCCCGTATAGCTGGCCGCGCCGTGTATTTTTTCTACGTGACGTAATGCGGGGATAATTTTCATACCGAGGTGGGAGAGAGGGCGGGTGGAGGAGGAAGAGATGCGAATACAGGTAGTCGTACGTAAATGCGTCGCTCGCTCGCTCGCTCGGTGGTGACCGCGCATCCACGCACAAACGCGTCAAATTACAGTACCTTCCAATAGGCGTGTTCCACTGACATTCCGACCTTGCCGTCTTTTATCCTATTGAGGTCTTTCACGTTTCTTCCCTGCCGCGCGGAGGGACCCTTTTTCTAGCGCCGGCGTTTAGTTGGCGGTTTGCACGTGTTTACAGTACCGGTAGGAAATCGCACCTACCTACCGAAGGTTCGACGCCCAAAGGTCTTTACAACGAAACCCGTGTAATCGATACGTTTTTCACAATGAGACTTAGGAGAATTTACTAGGATGTTTGACCACAGGCGTGACAGATATGGCAGAAACCCATAATGATGTGACAAAGTTGTTATGTTGATTGACAGACGATAACTACTTTAGATTTTAAAGGCGTTTATGACCAGCTGAGAAGAAAAGTCGCTTATACCTAAAATTTCAAGTTTTATTTTGATGATTCTATCTCTTAATAAAATCTTTACTTTTAAATAAGA